GACTCACCCCGGCAGGTGGGGGTCTCACCAGAGCAGAGCAGAGGGGGAGAATCACCCCCCTCAACCTGCTGCCCACACACTGCTCTTGGTGCAGCCCAGGATGCCACTGGCTTTCTGAGCTGCCAGCGCACGTTGCTGGGTCACGCTCAGTCTGTCATCCACCAGCACCCCCGAGTCACCCTCCCCAGGGCTGCTCTGGATCCGCTCATCTCCCAGCCTGTATCTGTGCTTGGGATTGGCCCAAGCCATGTACAGGGCCTTGCACTTGGCCTTCTGGAACCTCGTGAGGTTTACACAGGACCACCTCTCCAGCCTGTCAAGGTCCCTCTGGATGTCTTCCCTTCTCTCCAGCCTGTTGACTGCACCACACAGATTGGTGTTGTCAGCAAAGTTGCTGAGGGTGCACTCAATCCCACTGTCCATGTTGCCAACAAAGATGTTAAATAGCACTGGTCCCAGTATTGGCCCTTGAGGAATGCCACTCGTCACTGGTCTCCACTTGGACATTGAGCTGTTGAGTATGCTGCCATCCAATCCGTGTCTCTCCAGTTTAGAGACAAGGATGTTGTGCAGGACAGCGTCAAATGCTTTGCCCAAGTCCAGGCAGGTGACATCAGCTGCTCTTCCCTTACCCACCACTGCTGTAACCCCCTTGTAAAAGGCAGCCACATTTGTCCGGCACAACTTGCCTGTTGGCTGTCACCGGTCGCCTCCTTATTTTCCATCAACGCAAACACACCTTCTGCCTCTCTGTGTGTAGAACATCCAAGTGTCTTCTCCCTCATCATGCATAAGTTATAGCTCTGAATATTTATTAATTTTTATCAAGCCCTAGTACTCTTGTGTCAGTGTGGTCCATTCATTCATCACTTTTGTCTGTTAAAATCTTTGTGCCAGGTTAAATCTACGTGAGCTTGGACCTCTAGCATCTCACATGCGTTGGTTTATCTGGCTGATGGCTGCTGGAGGAACCATTTATGTATTTCTCTACCATGAAAAGTAAGTTGTTATTTGCATTCGACTTTAAACTGAAATTAAAAGGTGGGGGCTTTCTTGCTTTCTAAGTGTTCCTACCCAGCCTTTCACACACTGGAATAAGAGCTTTGAAACAGCGGAAATATGTGATGAGAGTGATGCAAACTTACATCTTGTCAGAAGATAATTGTGTTCACCCTGTCATAACATGTCATTAGGCTATATTATTCTCTTAAAGGGGTGGGAGGGAGGGAAGTATCCACTTTCAAAACTTCTAACTTTCTTGCTACAAGAAAGCAGGGGTGAGAGTGGGTAGGGTGAGAAACCAGTTGAAATTATGGTTTTTTGAACACCCCTAATTTGTGCAGCATTGTGTATGGATTGCACTGCGATATTATATTGTTCAGATATGCTGATGCATATTGACTCCTGCTACTTGCTTGGTTTTGTTTGGAGATGTGAGACCTTGAGTTTCTGAGTCTGAGATCTGAATTCTTGAGCCTGTTTCCATTGCTTGTCCTGGGGGAGCAAGACCCGACTTTTTTGTTTTGGAGATGAGCTACTGAGGTTCTTGTCAAATAAAATATAAGTCATCTCAATGTTTTATTCTCACTAATACTTAATGCAAGTGAATGTATCTAGGTAGTATTTAGAGAAGAAGGTGCTGCCTGCAGCTGTACAATGCAGAGATAAATGCTAGCTTTATTTTTGTCATAAAACATTGGTTATTTGTCTGCATAGGAAACTCTTTGAATAGTTTAATGGACTCATGCTAACATAGAATTTAAAGTATTTTCTTTACTGTTGAAGGAAATGCTCATCCTTTTGTACACCTCCTTAAATGACTCAAATTGTTCCTTTTTAGGTATAAGATTGTTGAACTCTTTTTCTATTTAGCGATGGGATTTTCTCCTGCTCTGGTAGTGACATCCATGGTAAGGAATGTGACTATTAACATTACAAACACACAAACTTTCCTTTTATAACTAGCTTAAGTTCCAGTGCAGCTCTCTTTCTTCTGAAAAGATGTTAATTTGAGTCCACCGTCATTGTAAATGTTCTCTGTAGAAGAATCAAATATAGTCAGTTATATTTTGGGTTGATAGTTTACATTTCAGTGAAATGCTGCCTTGTTTTATTGACCCTGGGCTGCAGGGTCTAGATGAGAAGAGCTGAGATTCCAAACTTCACTTCTAAAGACCCTCACTTCTGAAAGGGTATTGGACATAATTCAATTACTTCCATTTGAGTAAAAATGATAAAGAGGTGAAGTACCTTACCCTGTTGAGGAATGTTTCTAGATTTTGATGTGCTGTATCTGGGATACTTGATTTCTCAGCAATTGGTAGGGTTTTTTTTAAAGTTTCTTGGTATATCTGTGAAGCATCCTACTCCATCTTATCCACCTCAGCTTTGACTATTATTTATTTACAGCTGGGCATTTTAAATAACTTTGAATAACCCTCCCTGCTGCTCATATAAAGCTGAGGCCTCTGCGAGGTAACGCCTTGACTGTTCCGCGTGGATGCTGCGCTGTACCAGCACCTTGCTGGGCGCTTCAGCCAGCTGGCGGGGCTTGTGTTAACCTCGCGCGGGCGCACAGCGATGCGCGTCGTTCTCTTTCTCCACGGTTGTCTGCTCTGCTAACGAGCACGAAGCAAAACATCCACCTTGTCTTAATTCTTGAGCTATCCCTCTATTACCTCTGTAATACAGAGACATAGGATATAAATACATGGTTATATGTTTCACAAAGTGTAATATGAACGTGCTGGGTTTCTTGCTTGTCCGTCTGTCGTGTGAGACGCTCTGAGCTGACCGCCAGCTTTCTTTCCTTGGGGGGAAAGCACTTTGTGTTTTGTGCGTAAAATACCCTTTCCCTCCTGTACACCCCATCCCTAATCGTTCCTTGTTAATTGGCAGAGCAACACCGACGGACTGCAGGAGGTTGCCTGGGGAGGCCTGATATATTGTCTGGGCGTGGTGTTCTTCAAGAGCGATGGAGTCATTCCGTTTGCCCACGCCATCTGGCACGTGTTTGTGGCCACAGCAGCTGCTGTTCATTACTATGCCATTTGGAAGTACCTTTACAGAAGTCCTGCAGACATAATTCGTCACTTATGATTGAGAGATATATATATCTATAGTTATAGATATAGATATATATGAAATAATCTGCACTTGGCCTCTGTAACAGTATTATTTGACTTAAGGAATTCGGGGAAATTGGAAAATTGCACAGAAAAACTGCACTGACTTTGTTAGTTCTCTGAACACAATGACTGTGAACTGATGTTGTAGGTGTCCTGCAATTGCCCATCATATGGCAAGTGCTGTAAATAACCAAGATACTGTACTGCAGTACCAAGAGTCCATTCCATGTTAGTAGAACTGGCTACCTGATGTTTACAAATAAATTTTGTATTCTAGTTTAGTTTTACAATTTTTAACTACATGAATTTTTCTAAATTAGTGGTTCAAATGGTGAAGTCAGTGCAATAGCAAAAATGTAACTCTCTGATTTGAAATTGGTTTCTATCACCTTTCCGCTAGTCATTTATTAAACATGAGTCACGGACAAATAATCTACTTTTACCACCCGTTATCTTGGTATAATGTGACTTTTATAGAAACTTTTTGTGTTTTTTGTAAACTTTAAAAGTACATTTATTGAACTGAAAACACACGACTGTCATCTATGCAGTTACTCATGTTGCAGAACCTTGCAGGAAACGGTTACATTCCACATGCTGAACTGACAAGCGAACCTTGTACCTCTTCCAAAGGTTGTATTACAGGTGTAATGTAATAACCACTTCTACGAACCCAAACCTAAATGTGATTCTGCTGAGTTCTGACACGGTAGTATTCTGCTCATCTATAGCACCACCTACACAGCACCTTAATTTGGCTTTATCCGTGATGGAAATGAAGTGCTTTAAAAGAAAAACCGTTAAAGTGGTTGTCTCCTCCTGATCCCCCGTTCTGCCCAGGCAGGCAGCCCTTCGGATGGGCGCTGCCTCGCGGCGGTGGGGAGGAGGCGGGACAGCCGCTGTCCCCCGAGCCAGCCGTCCCTCAGAACGCTGTACACGCACCGGTGCTGTAATACCGAGGCTTGGGTTTTCAGAGGGGTGTAAAGTGACCGGCAGAACCTGTTCCCACCAGTTTCCCGTGGGGGGGGTTCTGTTGGGAGCTCCTGGTCAGAGCAGCAGGTCCAGAGCAGTTGCTGGCCGCTGCGGTGGCTGGTTCTTCCCGAGCACAGCCTTCAGGGAGGGGGGCTTGAGGGACCTGATGCGGTGTTGCTTGTCCTTCTGGGACTTAAGGCAGAGCAGAACTGGCCGTGAGCTGTGTGGCTGGCTGGCTGGCTGTACGGGGAACCGAACGTGGGCGTGAGTCCTGACGGCAGAGCACGAGCGTGAACCGGCCAGGGGTAGAAGAGTCGCTGTAGTGCTGTCTGTCCAGTGGTTGTATCCTGTCCCACTATATAATGAATGTCTTATATTAAGATTGACTTGATCCTTTTTCTAATTTTGTCAGTTTTTCATGTCAGTATTTGAAAACAAAACCAAAACGTGTTGCCTTTTTCAGATTTTGTTCTGGATGTTGCCTGTCTGCAGATAATAAGTAGCAAGATAGGGACGTTTTTCAAGGTACCGTTTAATATCGCACCTAGGTTTGCCAGTGGGTTGCGTGTTTTAGAATATACACATTTGTATACGGACTTGACCAGAGGGACACACTTTAAATTGAAGGCGTTGAAGAACTGCTGGGTGGTGGTAGCAGGTCGTTGGAGAAGGAGCGCCGCTACAGCAGGCTAGTGACCTGCCCCGAAGGAGGACAAACGGAGCAGCTGGGCAGGTAATTCCTCGTACAACAGTCCTGCACATCTGGATGCCTCAGTTTTTTAACATTGTGTCTATTTTAATATTTTCCACTTTTTGTGAGTTCATGTGTTTTGTTTAAACGCAGTACTGTTAAAACCACTAAAATCCATGTAAAGGTTTTCCGTAGTCAAAAGTGAAACTATTGCTTGAATATGTTTGTTTTAATTTTAAGTTAATTTTTCATGGCATTGCTTTTTGGAGTGTTTGAAATGGTTTTTAAAAAATTTCAATTCGCCAAAAATATTTTGAATTACTGTATTCTAGTCAATATGATATTGAATGTACTAGACTAACAATAAACATTTTGTGCAATTTGGAAACGCTTGTATTCTTTGTGGCTGTTTTTTCCCCCCTCCCACACTTCTGCAGGAAAGTAGGGGACTAAAGCCGTCGCCACTCTTGGCGCGAGAGATCTGGAGCTGAACCCAGCGACCCTCGTGCTCGCTCCGTCAGCTCTTTAAAATAAAAATAGCAGGGAAGATGGCAATCCAAATTACTCAATTTGTGGTATGGAAAAAAGTGTATTTATGTCTAAACTTTGGTCGATGTTGAGAACTTGCTGCTTCCCTCCTTGCTGTTCTGGATCCATTTTCTCACCCCATCATGTCCCGGGGTTTGGGGTTTTTCAGTTACATAACACTGAACCACATAATTTTGCTCCTGTCCCTATAGGAGTCTCGTTGCAAAAAAATACAGATGAGCTGAACTGAAAATGCATTTCTGTCTGGAAAACAAGTACGTCAGTGAGCCTTTTTTTCCCCTGTCTCTAATTGCAGCTCTCCAGACTGATCCCTCCCCGGAGTAACAATAGTGCTTTTTCCAGCAGCGCTTGCTGCAGAAGCAGAGATGGGATTTCTTTGTCTTCCTGAAGCAAATGTTTTTAAAAGCCCTTGCTTCTGTGTTCTCTGTGCCTCTGGGTTTCAGAAGTGCAGCTGAGGCGAAGTGTAGCGGCGACAATGTGTTTGGTTTTGCAGAGGGACCTTTCCGGAGGATGTCTAGGGCGCAACAGGTACTTCGAACACTGGATGCTTTCAGCGTCATCACTTTCACGTCGTATTTTTCTAACACAATATGGAGTGCATCTAAAGAACAATTCAGTTATCAGAAGGGATTCATTGAAGGATTTATTCTAGAGTGCACTTTGTATTGGTTTTTTTTAATTCAGCAGCAGCAACGAGTGCACAAAGTACTTATTTTTCTTTCTGTTAACAAAAGCAGTTGTAAAATCAGGCTGCCTTTCAATTCTGTCTTCCCCACATCCCTCTTAATTACTTATGATTACGGTAAGAAATTGTATCACTCTTTTCCAGTTCTAGGTAAGCCATGAAGTCCTTTCAGAGGAGGCTTGAGTGTCTGAACGTGGGGTTTGCAGCCTTTTCTGTGTTCTGGTGGTGAATGATGGTGTAAAAATGGGGGAGTACTTCAGAGACACTTTGAAACGGTTGGTTATCGTGGTTTTCCAAAAGGTTGGTCACCTAAATTCCAGATCAGCGTTAGCAGACAGGCAAGGTGGTTCCATTCGAGGTGTTTTTACCCAGCTTCCTTCGGATTGATTGGGTTTTTCCTGATTCGAAGCACAAAGCCGACGTCAGGCACGTGCTGTCCTGGTCGTTGCACCGTGTTGGCGAGGGTGGGGTGAGGCACTTCTGAGCCTCAGGGTTGTTGCTGTGGTGGATCGTGACCTGCGCTACGGTTTGTTCCACGTTTTCACAGCTAGTAGTGGAACTCTTGCACGCTGGTAGGGGAACTGTGTCAATCACACAGGTCACCGCGTTTCTAGAGCTGCTGCTTCGTGAAATGCGTGCGTGTCGGGGGCTGGAGTGAGCGAGTTGACTAAAGCTTTTCGTGGAGTTCTTTCTGTTAAACCTCTTGCTTAAAGGTCCCTCGCACCTGGGACCCTGCTGCTTGTTTGGAAACCACCGAGTCACCTGCAAGGTCCTCTGGTGAGGTCTGGTGTACTTTGCCACGCGGTTCCTCTGGAGGGTGAGGCTGTCGCGGCCACATCATGTGCTTGACTAAGTCTTTTCTCCACGCTTTGCTATTTTTATAAGAATGCAGGACGTTAGTCTCTGCTGGCTAATTGCTTTCACCATCAATAGGTGTCATAAGATTAAAGCTAAAAATAGTTAACGCAGGAGTGACCGGGGTGGCAGGGCAGAGGCGCGCTGGCTCCCCGGAGCGGGCGCTGTCGGCCTCGCTGCCCTCCTGGCAGCACGGAGCCAGCGCGTAGCTCGTGGCCCGGCCCACGGCTCCTCAGCCCCTCGAGGCTGCTCGCGGGCTTCCTACTGCGTGACAGGGTTTCACCCATCCCTTGGCTGAACAAATTCCCTGCGCTCAGTCACAGCCTGGAATGTACAAAGACGCCCCAAATGTTCGCTAGTTTGGGACCGTTGGTACACTTTCAACTGGGTGGCGCAGCAGTGCTGGGAGGACTGTGCTGCGCTGTGCCTGGGGCTAAACCCCCCGCCCAGGCTGCTCAGTGTCGGGTTTTGGAGGTGCTTTGCAGCCTGTCTTGAAACTTCAGCTCGGAGAAGTTGGAGGTGAAGCACCTTCAGAATATCTGTACCACGTACAATCCGAACCAAGGGAGTAGTTCGGTCTTACAGGTCCAGCCTGCAGGGAAAGCAGGGGTTTGTTTCAAAAAGCGTTCAGATTCTGCTCGTGTGAGCAGTGTTTTGGGGCAGGCTGACCTTGTGTTACTGAGCTGGGCGTCTGTCTTCGCACGTGGGGGTCCTCCCGTTTGCGGTGAGCTGGCTGCGAGCAGCAGGGGTGGCAGTGCTTGTCCCCTGTGCACAGCCAGGGCCCTTGTTACCGAGGATAAGCTGGGGAACCAGAATCCTCTTGCAGAAGGCCAGCAGTGAAGCCAGCACCGGTTTTGTAACTGAAGTTACATCATTGACTCTAATGAGGCTAGCGTGCTCTCAGACGGATATATTCAGATGTCTCTGTTGCTTAGCAGCGTGAGCCCTGCTGGCGGTGGATTTGTGTGCCCGAATCCTTCAGGTGCCTTTGGAAATCACCCTTCAATTGTCACAATTTCACGAAGCCTTTAGTAGAGACCTAGAGAATTAGTGAGTTTAGCTCCAGCAGAAAGTCTCCTCGCTTTCTGCCGTGTCGTGTTTACTTCCAGGAGTGACGCAGAGGGGTGGTGTGCAGGCAGTGAGCAGCCAC